GGACGGAGGGACGGAGGGACGGATGGATAGATAGATAGATAGATAGATGGGAATAGTACCGTGGCTCCCTATGTTGCTCAAGGTGTTATTTTCCGCAACCATAAAAAGGGTAAGTTGTGCTCCCTTAGCCTGAAACCAAAAACCTAAACCCATCACCCTAACCAAAGACCTTACATCCTAAACCCTCAACAAACCCTAAACTCTAAACCCCTATACTAAACTCTAAAACACTTATACCAAACCGCAAATCCCCCCAACCCTAAACCCCAAACCGGATCTCAAACCAGATCGTAGCATACTTGGACCCGGACCAATAGACTATAATCATAATGAGGAGCCCCCCCCCCAAAAAAAAAAGAACAATATTGGCAATTAGTACTTACCCTATACCTTGATATGATACTATGATATACCCCAAAACCCTATGCCAATCATGAAGGCTAGTTATAATGAGGAACCCCGGAACCCCCAAAAACATCTGCTTAAAACTAAATTCTAATATACCCCAAAACATCCCAACACCCTATGCACAAATTATAAAGGAAGCCCTAAACCTAAACCCTATGCAACTTATAAAGGAAACCCTAAACCTAAACCCTATGCTAGTTATTCAGGACCTTAAACCCTAAACCCTAAACCCTAAACCCTAAACCTAAACCCTAGACCCTAAACCCTATGCTAGTTATTAAGGATCCTACATTGCTTGGACTGGGACCATGAGGCCGCACCCGAATGTCGATGGCATTTGCAACGACCTGTGGAGACTTTGAGGCTTAGGGCTTATAGGGTTCAGGGTTCGGGCTTTAGGCTTTTAGGGTTTAGGGTTCGGGTTTTAGGTTTATAGGCTTTAGATTTTTAGGATCTAGGTTTTTAGGATTTGGGGTTCTGGGTGTAGGGTGTTAGTTAGGGTTTAGGGTTCGGGGTGTAGGGTTTTAGGGCTTAGGGTTCGGGGTTTAGGGCTTTTAGGGTTTAGGGTTCGGGGCTCAGGGCGTTTAGGGTTTAGGGCTTTTAGGGTTTAGGGTTCGGGTTTTAGGTTTCTAGGGTTTAGGCTTCGGGGATTAGGGTTTTGAGGGTTTAGGGTTCGGGGTTCAGGGCGTTTAGGGTTTAGGGTTCGGGGTTTAGGGCTTTTAGGGTTTAGGGTTCGGGGTTTAGGGCTTTTAGAGTTTAGGGTTCGGGGTTTGGGGTTCGGGGTTTAGGAGATTACGGCTCAGGATTGCATCGATTTTGGGCCAGAGGGATTCATTAAGGTTTAGGGTTTCAGGTGTGGGGCTTCGGGTTCGGGCTCTGGTATGTGATATGGAGCCTGTCCTAAACAAATCCGGCACCTCCCATGAGTTGCCAAGCGATCCCTCAGGTTGGATGACTGCGACACCCTAAAACCCAGACTAATTAAGAATGGTGCCTTAGTACAGAATCAACGCATTTTGGCTGCATACTCTACTTAGAGAGGGAATCCTTAAATAAGGCTGTAGGAACCTCTAGGAATGAACCACGTGAAAACCCTAAACCCGACACCCCAAAGCTAAACATCGGGTTTCGGGTTGATCATCTACTTCCCTGATCAGTCGTCGACGAGCTTTGAAGGATTCGAGGGTCCGGTCAGACTATAGTTGCTGTAGGGTTTGGCATTATGGAATCCCACAACCCAAACCCTAAAACCCACCCTAAGCCCCTAAACCCTAAAACCCTAAACCCCTGAACCCCTAAATCCCGAAATCCTGAACCCCAAACCCCTCAACCCCCAAACCCTAAACCCTATAAAACCCTAAAGCCCCTAACCCCTCTACCCCCAAACCCTAAACCCCACAAAACCCTAAAGCCCCTTACCCCTCAACCCCCAAACCCTAAACCCTATAAAACCCTAAAGCCCCTAACCCCTCAAACCCCAAACCCTAAACCCTATAAAACCCTAAAGCCCCTAACCCCTCAACCCCCAAACCCTAAACCCTACAAAACCCTAAAGCCCCTTACCCCTCAACCCCCAAACCCTAAACCCTGTAAAACCCTAAAGCCCCTAACCCCTCAACCCCCAAACCCTAAACCCTACAAAACCCTAAAGCCCCTTACCCCTCAACCCCCAAACCCTAAACCCTATAAAACCCTAAAGCCCCTTACCCTGAAGCAACAACCGGAGTAACACGATGCATGGTCCGGGTCCCACAAAGCGGATCCCCGAAGGCGCCTACCTCTATCTATATCTGTATATATATATATATATGTATCTATCTATATATATATATATATGTATATCTATATCTATATCTATATCTATATCTATATCTTTATCTATATCTATATATATATATATATATATGTATATATGTATATATGTATAATGTGTAGATACATATATACTAAATTATATAGACATATAAATATAAGTAAATGAACAAATAAATAAATCAATAACTAATAGGTAGTAGATACATACATGTATACAAAAAAACATACATACATCTATCTTGTATATGTGTACTGTAGAGGCTCGTTAAGTTCTTATGCGGGTGTTGCAAAGTTTTTTCTTACCTGGCAGAACGTGCCTGAGAACAAACAACGCGTATACCTTACCCCAGCATACCGGGCAACGGTGCAATCCCGTGGCTGAGTCAATGGGCACGAAGATGGCCGGTAACTCTCCGTAATGGCACACCCATCGATGCCGATTGAGGATATGTGCTCTCTGTTGCACCAAGGCACCAAGAATGAAGCATAAAGACTCCGTGTTCGGGCCTGGGCTTCTTTGGGCTTTAGGCTTGGAGGCTTGGGGCCTCTTGTCTTATCTGCGCACCGACTCCAAACCCAACCTCAAACCATACCCTAAACCCTAAACCCTAAACCCTAAACCCTAAACCCTAAACCCTAAACCCTAAACCCTGAACCTGATAACCCCAAGATCCGCCGGCATCTCCGACGCCTCAACCCAAGACCCGAGCCCCAGAATCTTTAAACTGTAAACCCTACACCCCAAACCCAAGACCCCCAAGTCCTAACCTACCTCAACCCTAAGGAACCTATGATTTTAAGACTCTTTTATATGCAACCATATACATATATATATATATATATATATACATGTATATATGTATATATATATATATATATAAATAAGGAACTCAAAATTAGAATGACAGGCTCTAGGCCCAAAGCCCAAACACCCAGAAAGCCCGCTGAGGCAGCCGCATGGGCGTTGGTCATTATCCGATTCCTTGAACTCGGAGGTACGGGAAACTGAGCTACCATCGAGGTCTCGAGGGTTTAGGGGGTTAGGGGGTTGGGGCTTAGGGTTTCTGTTGGGTTTGGAGGCTTTTGGTTTTCGGCTCACGACCTCAAAGCTGCCGGTAAGATCGAGTGTATCAAATGCTTGCTTGAATTTGTTCTTGATGGTATGAGTATCGCCAATGTAGCCATCATCAACAATAACCTTCATGCTTCCATTCGCCGAGGAATGCCGGGGGAATGGAAACGACATGCACCCAAAAGGGTGACCACGAGGATGAGCTAGCGCCGGGTGTTAAGGGGATTTCGGGTGTAGGGTTACATGCTGTATCGGTACGGACAAACCTAGACAGCCGGCATACTTCTGCACCTTCCTGGTCAAAGGTAAAGACCTCGTAGGCCGCGGAGTATCACGCTTTTCGTGATTGGGATGGTAGCCGTAGTCCTCCATCCCCAAACCCTAAATCAGGAATTCACACAACAGTTAATTGTTCCGACCCCTATACTCTGAACTCCACTCGCTGCGAATGTGCACATCTTGTGCAAAGAAGCCCCGAAACCACCTCTCCCCCTGATTTCATGCAGCACTAGTAGGCGTCCAGCAATTGTCAAAATAAGGAGTCATGGACATGTAGCCTTCCCTGTCCAGCTCGGCAGCACGGGCACGCAAAATGCCCACATCCTCGGGAGTCAAACCTTCGGATAACCAGCTGTTCCTCTCACTTGCGTAACTGCCATGCTGGATTCGGTCTGCCACGTCTGGCAGTGCCACGCAGCTGATGTTGGCATAAGGAGGTGAGGAGGCCTTTAGTACCTCGAGCGGCTTTCGTGGGCATGGAATTGACAGCGTCCCTGCCTTGCAACGACCGAGGGGTCGGACGGCAGCAGCACGTAGTTTCCCGCGACTTCCGTGGAAAGTGCCATCACGAGGAAACCAGCAGTGTGATCCCAGGCTCTGGGGCAAACAGAACCTCTGGGCAAATAAGACAGAACCCTCAGTGATGTAGGTAGCAATGTCGAGATCCACTCTCGGATTTCCCTTTGTACACATCAGCATATCTTCGTGGGCATTGGCCCGTGCCAAAGCAGTACTCTGTTCGTGTGAGTGCCTACCAATACAGGTTTCCCAACCTCGTTCCAGCAACATGCGGCGAATGGAGGCGCGGATCTGTGGCCAGTGTTGGAGAGAAGGCAAAGCCACCATGAGATCAATATCATGGTCAACAGCATCAACTTTGCCTTTGGATAGCAGGCCACTTCTCTTGCCGTGGCGCAACAAGGCGATCAGTGTCCCGCGACACGGCCACCACTCAAGCTTCAAATGGCCGAAGATTGCAGATGCATCCGCTAGTGCCTGAACATGCTGCTCATCCGTGATAGATACTTGAGATCCCCAGTCAGTATAAAAGGCATCCACGTCCAAGATCCTTTGTTGCACAATCTTGCCCGCATGCCTGTAGAGCTGCAAAGCTCCTCTCACCGGCCAGCCATGGGCAGCATTGAAATTGCATCGAACCAGGGCTTCCTGAAGAATCTTTTCTTCCAAGATAAGTGTATGCCAGATGTGCTCGTAAGCATCCCTGGTGTACGCAACGCTATCCAGCAGTTGCATCCATGTGTTGTATAGCCATGCCGAAGACACAACAACAGCACAAGGGCAGGGTGACAGCAAGTGGTTGATCAGCTGAGACACCGCATTCGCACGACTCTCAAGACGCCTCTCGGTGTCACGTTCGCCAGATTTGTGCACGAGATGCTTCCTTGACAGCGTCCAAAAGTCTGTTAGGTTCAAGCCGAGCCGTTTTCCGACCTGAGCACATCTGGTGGAGGAAGCCGCGTGAGCATCTGGGGCAAGCAGCAGACCTTGCAAAGTTATCCATAGACGAAGCATCGCCCAAAGATGCCTCAATAAAAACCTCCAAGCTCTAGAAAGAACCCCTAAAGGAACCGCAAGACGGACCCTTAAAAGGAATCTTTAGAGGAACTCTTATGAGATATAATCTTCTGCGCACATTGATAGTATAGTTAAGGGCTTTGGGGTATATTAATCACATAGTTAAGGGCTTTTGGGGTATGCTAATGGTTCAGCCCAGGATTTTGGGTTATACCAATGGTACAGCTGAGGGTGTTGTTAATTGTACAGCTAAGAATTTTGGTGTATATGAATCATACAGCTACTATGTAGGGACTATGAAGGAACATAACTACTAAGCGTTCCGACCCCTAGAAATACGCGCTGCGAGCAGGCTCGAAGTTAGTGGTTGTTCTAGAGATCCTTCTTTAACTTACCTTTAGTCTCCATTGTAGTTCCTTTTTGTGGTTCCCTGATAGGATGCTAAGTATGAAATCACCCTACACCCTAATCCGTGGGCTCTTTGTAGGGTTTCAGGCTGAGATCGGCGGAGTATCCCAGTCACTAGTCAGTATACCTCTGTTTGAGGGTAGGAGGAAGGTCCTGGTACACTTATACTAGGATTATTATTTCTGCACCCAAAAATGGGAGTTTCAGAAAATTAGGGTACCTTATTTGGGGGTCCTTATAATAGGGATCCTATTATTTAGGGTACTATATTGGGGTCACCTATTTTCGGAACTCCCCAAAGCAACGTTGCCTACCAAAGCCCCGAAGTGAAGGCAGGACCATGGGCAAGACGCAACCGTGCAGGGAGAGCCCACTAACTTCAAGCCGACCCAGAAAGCCCAAGACCGTTCCCTTGGGCTCCAAGTATACAAATAGTACCTACTTTGGGGCCTAAAGTCTGTAAATAGTACCTACATTGGGCTATTTGGAGCCCCGGGGGTTTAACTAAGGAATACTTGCACACATCTTTTTGGGGCTCCTCTTCCCTTAAGTAAGTGTTGAAAAAGGTAGGTTTAGGATCCAGGAGAACCTTGCATGATAATAGCAAGGCCCCTATGCTACGGTAGATCCTCCATCAGGGGATATTGGGCACTCTGGGTAGATTGAACAACTGCCAGACTTACAGCTGATGCTCGTCACTGCGTTCATGGTGTTCCTCCGCTCTTCTGCTGTATGCTGGCAGCATCAAAACACGTTGCTTCTTGAGCCAAGTTGCGGACGGTCCCGATTGCAGAACCTAAACCACCATACACAAAACCTCTACTTAGACTCTACTGTAGCCAACCGGGGCCCAAGACCCGAAACCCCTTTACTCGTACATAACTCCAAAGCTAAAACACTCAACCGCAACAGAAACCCGCACGTCTAAAGCTCAACCCCGAATCCCAATACCCGTTTCTGCCTTTCAACATAGCCCGCCCTTTTCAACCAAGAGTCGTCTGCAATGTGCCCCACTTCTCACAGCATCCAAATACCCCGTAATTCAGGTCATCGCAGTATGAAGCCCTCAAAAACCTAAGGTATCTCCCAGCAAGCAAACCTATAAAGATCACTACACAGCCCACCTCATACACTTATCTATCCCTAAACCCTAAACCCTAAACCCTAAACCCTTAGTTAAGGGGTGTTTGGCTCTCCAGGTTCCGTGCAACGAGGGTATCTACAGAAACCCTAAACGGTCTCGAAGTCCTAAACCCCAAACCGTTTAAAAAGCGGGTCCTTAATGGTCATAATTAATGGGATCTTGAGCTATGTGATAGTATCACTGAAGGCCTAAGGAATCTTGTGGTTAGCTACGGAATAATAGTGCGAAGCAGGCTTCTATTTACAAGTAAACCCCTAAACCCGATAAACACTGAACCCCCCTCCCCGCCCACCACAACGTGACACTCCGAGCTAGCCGACTGGGAGATGATGAAGCCGGATCCCGAAGAACTCACCTGACAAAAACGAGCAAAACTAGGGTCGTCGTTGGAGCCTCAGTTGCGGTTGATGGTTCCAAGGCTTGGATAGGATGTTGGTTATTTTTGATGGTTCTGTTGTTGGTACTGTTGTCGCTCCCCTTTATGTGTTCATTATTTGCTTGGTGGCTAGGTGTATTCAGGTGTATTCAGGGCTCAGGGAGGGGGTTTAACGTAGGTTTTACCACAAGGCTTGACCGGGCGCGGCGCTTACTTCGCGCATGTCAGTGAGACATGTTTGAAAGCCTTTCAAAGGCCCACCTCTTACGAAGTTAGCTCAAGGCCGTACGGTCCCATACCCAAAACCCTAAATTGGGAGTTGGGAGTAGTTTGACCCTTGGGGATGTAGACCCTCTCAATAAGGTCCCCCTAAACCCTAAACCCTAAACCCTAAGGTCCCTTTTAAGAGAGCCATAAGTAGGGTTGAGAAGGGTCCCCTTCCAGGGGTCTCCCGATATACTACCTAGGGTTTAGGGTTTAGGGTTTAGGGTTTAGGGTTTAGGGTTTAGGGTTTAGGGTTAAATCGCACACCTAATCCTCTTCAACCGGAGAAGCTCGCAAACCCACAAAACCTCAAGCGCTAATGAACTCGCCAAGTGCTCAATGGTTACTTTAGGGGCCTTAGTAGACAGCATAGGGTTTTGGGGCACATTATACTATGATAAGTATAGTAGGGAACCCCCCAAATAGTATTGGTAATTATTTAGGCCCCTATATTCCAAAAAAACATTGAGGCTTCTACCGAAACAACCCATAAACCCAAAACTTAAGCCCTAAGCCCGAAACCCTAAACCCTTTGAAGGTACTTAACCCAAAACCCTAAACCCTAAACTATAGAAGAACTTAAACCCTAAACCCCAACTTATACCCCAAACCCGAAACTAGAGAAGAACTTAAAACCCCAAAACCCCAACTTAAACCCTAAACCCGAAACCCTAAACTCTAGAAACCCTAAACTCTAGAAACCCTAAACTCTAGAAACCCTAAACTCTAGAAACCCTAAACTCTAGAAACCCTAAACTCTAGAAACCCCTAAACTCTAGAAACCCTAAACTCTAGAAACCCTAAACTCTAGAAACCCTAAACTCTAGAACCCCAATGAAGCTTCTAGGGTTTGCTCAAAAAACGACTCTGGCTCAGAGGGCCGGGCCTGTTGGGTCCGAGTCCACGGACCTGCGGCTGCTCTGCTTAGGCCAGGGATTTCTACAACTTCTACTTCTATATTTTAGGGTTTAGGGTTTAGGGTCTAGGGGTTTAGGGTTTAGGGTTTAGGTTTTAGGGTTTAGGGTTTAGGGGTTTAGGGTTTAGGGTTTAGGGGCTTTGGTTTTCGGGTTTGGGGTTTAGGGTTTATAGGGTTTCGTGCCATGAAAGGGTTTATGGTTTAGGGGTTTCTAGCCGAGAAAGGGTTTAGGGTTTAGGGGTTTCGATTTTGAAAAACCCATGAAAGGGCTTCTACAGACTTCTACAGGGGTGATTTTTAGGCTTAGGGTTGGAGGGTTTGCTGTGAAGGCTCGGGGTTCATGGATTGCGCGCGGCTGGGTCTTTCGTGTAAATGGTTTGCGGTTCCGTGTTTGCAAGAGTTTGCTGTGTAGTCTCAGGGTGTTCATGTGGATTCCTAATCAATAAATCCCCCTCAGAGAATAGGGTGTACTAATCAGGCGTCTCCGCGACCATTGAAGGGCTTCTACAAGGGCTAGCATAGGTAATATAGGGGCCTTAATAATTAGGATACGGTTTTAGGGCGTATTCTACTATAATTGCAGTAAGGAGCCCCCAAAATATTTTTGGTGATTACTTGGGCCCGAATATTACTCTAAGGCCAAGGGAGCAAGCTCAGGGCTCCGGACGTAGAGCTTTTGATTTCTAGGATTTGGGGTTTAGGGTGAGGGAAGCTCGTTTTGCTGTTTCCTTCCTTTGGACTCTGCTTTTCGTGACTTGCGCATCGTCTCGGCTGCGTTTGGGGCACGGGAGTCGGATCTTGAGTTTAGGCGTAATATCCGGGCCTGGAGAATTGTTGGAATAGGGTGTTGTATCTTATGTATTCTTATTGGGGAAACCTGGAGACATCCTTGTTGGCTCACGAGGGTTTAGAGCTCAGCTTATAGAGATGAGGCAAGCGGATTCTAGGATTTTGGGCCTAGGGCTTTTAGGCTTGGGCTTCAATGAGCCTCTTCAGCTTGCAGGGGTCCAAAAAAACTGAGCGACACTCTCCTCTGAACGCCCCTTTCATCAGGAGAAACTATGCCTACATGTGCCCCCAAAAGCCACACTCCAACCCTAAATCCTAAAGCATCAAACCTTATTCTTTGTGTTTTCTGTACTATTCTGAAAGTGATACCCTGAGCCCTAAACCCTAAATCCTAAACCCTTAACCCTATCCCAAACCCTAAACCCTACCCTAAACTAACTTCGAATCATAAGGAACACACCCGGTTGTAGGGCTTCGGGTTCAGGGTTTACGGTCCAAGAAAGACTCCAAGATGAACTCCCCAGAACGTCTCAGACCAACAAACGGCTCAGGCTTTAGAATTCAGGCTTTAGGGTTCAGGGTTGAGGGGTTTAGGGTTTAGGTTTGATTGGTTTAGAGTTTAGGGTTCAGGGGTTTAGGGGTTTACGGTTGATTGGTTTAGGGTTCAGGCTTCGGGGATTTGGGGTTCCGCGGTTTAGGGGTTCACGAGTTTGGGGTTTGCAGTGTGACGGGGCCTTGGACTTCGGCTTTGGCATGTCTCTTTTGCAACAAAGATATACAGGAACTATAAGGCATATTTTTTTAATTTTTCTACTAACCACTTTATGCTTCCAGGGCTATGAGGGCATATTCTTGTATGATATTTCATACTAGCCACGTTAATACTGGAGTTCTAGAGCCCCCTCCAAGGATCCAACAGAGCGGGATCCACTGAATCGAGACCACTTCCAGCAAGCAGACCGTTCGCCTGAAGGACGAGGTTTCGGATCTAGCTTCGGGATTTAGGGAACCCTAAACCCTAAGCCCTAAAACCCTAAACTGTAAACCCTAAACCCTAAACCCTGAACCCTAAACCCTAAACCCTAAACCCTAAACCCTAAGCCCTAAACCCTAAACCCTAAACCTTACTCGTGTTGGGTGGTTTGGGTTTAGGGCACAGGTCTAAGCCAGGGCATTCGTGGACGAAGATATCACTCACCGTCCTTTTTGCATGCAACCGCTCACGGCGTCCAAAGTGTAATGTTTAGGGTTTAGGGTTTAGGGTTTAGGGTAATGTTCATTGAGAGACAGCAAAGTTCAGGTCATCATGAGAACTATCGAATTCCTCAGCAGAATCATGGCCACCACCAAATCAGTCGTCATTGTGATCATGGTTATCCAACGCCCCAGAGCTCAACCCAAAACCCAAAACTCTGAACCCTGAACCCTAAACCCTGAACCCTAAACCTTAAACAATGAACCCTACATGCCGCTTGCCAAGCACGGCAGCCCAAACGGGTGCAAATGCTGAACTACCGAGCGCAAATCCCATCTAAACCCCGGATCCCAAATCCGGAACCTCAAAAGCCTAAACTTCAAATCCTCAACGGAAAACCCCTAGAACATACCAAACAAAACACCACATCCCAAAGCCCTTTTCGGCCGGGACGCCAGTGCAAGGGCGAGGGGATCATCGCACCACTCGGCCTTAGGTAGGTTTAGGGTGTAGGGTTTAGGGTTTAGGGTTTTGGGTTTAGGGTAGAGGCGGGCCCTGAAACCTGCACACAACTTACGGTGTTGAGTTTCGTTGTTAGGTAGGTGGTGTTTAGGCTTTGAAAGAGCTTAGACGGGGTGTCGTGGCTTCAGCTTGAATGCTGAATGTAGGGAATGAGATACGAGCGTAGACTTTAAACCTGCTCTAATTATACTCAGGCCCCTATGCCAAGATGACTGTGCTTGAAAGCCGCAGCTGACCATGCCACTCCATCCCGTTTGTCTTCCCAGTCTGCAAGCCCTTCAGAACCCGACCTGAAGGGTTTTACTCCAGGTAACCATACATATGGAATTACGTATAGCCCACATTAAGCAAATTAAGCTACTTACATCCTCACTTACTAAGTCCCGTGATCCTCCAAATAAGCGCACCTGGAAGGTAGAACCGCCAAATCTGGCTCGCTGTGCCATTTGTTGACTGATGGGCAGGTCTTGAACATAGGAAGCGAAATAAAGAGATCTACAGTCTAGATGCCTTTTTGCAGGATTGGGGTGCACATAAAACCCGATTTAGTATCTAAAGTTCAGGTTCAAAGTCATACGTTAAGGATACTTCCCTGAACCCTAAACCCTAAAAGCCTAAAACCTAAACCTTAAAACCCTAAACCCTAAGACCCTAAACCCTAAACCCTAAAACCCTAAGACGCCCTAAGACCCCAAACCCTTCTATTTCGCCGGCCGCGGGCCGAAAGTGTGGATTTAGATTTCAAGAGCGCGAAGATTCGGGTGGAAATGCAGGTGGAGGACTGTACAAGTAGAGGCCAGCCCTTTGGGACCCGAGGATCCTGGAAAGTAAGGGCCCTAATGTAGGAACCGGCTTAAGAAACCCTGGGTCTTTATTAGGATTCTTAATATGGATCCTAATATATTGGGGTTTTAGGGCTAGGGTTTCTTAATCAGGTTCCTCCATTATACCCTTCTAATGTAGAGGCCTTCATAATTAGACGAGGGTTTTGGGGGTACATGATGCTATAGCTATAGTAAGGAACCCCCAAAGTAGTATAGGTAGTTATTAAGGCCCCTATATTACTTCAAATCCCGAGGCATATGGGTATGTTATGAACCTTAACCCCCTGTAAGGGCCCTATATTCTTCGACCTCAAATCCCAAAATCCTATGGCTCATTTAATCCTTAAGGGCGGGGACCCTAAACCCTAAACCCTAAACCGGTATCCAGGTATGCTTTTAGATCTGGTGCCTAACGCCAAACCCTGAAACCCAGACCTCCTGAACAAATATGTAGAGTCTCCATTCTAGTTTTCTTGTTGGCCTAGCCAGCTTTATGGTTAGGATCACAAAAGGTAACCCCAAAAAGGAACGGCAATGGAGACTGTAGGTGGAGTATGGATTTGGGATTGGTGTTTTATCCGCCTGTCGTATACCATAGGCTATGGAAAGACAAAAGGAGTACTCGTGAATGAGTCATTGTGCAGACTGCCATATGACCTCAAACCCTAACCCATCACCCATACCCCTAAACCATAAACCCTAAATCCATAACCCTAAAGCCATTAACTCCTAAACCCTAACCCATAACCCATAACCCTAACCCCCTAAACTCCTAAACCCTAACCCATCCTTGGGTCATGGACGCGGTAGGAGAAGGAATTCGGGCCAGGGGCGCCTCCGCGGTGCTGGGCAGAGAAGAATCTAAGTTGTCTATAACTATAGGTTTAGGGTTTAGGGTTTAGGGTGATAACTAAAACTAAATAAAATCCCATATACGGGTTTAGAATAAGAACCCACAAAACAAGTGTAGGTTATGGCAGTTGAAGGTAAACCCTCATTAAACTCTAAACCCCTGAATGGGGCGTGCTTTCTAGGACAAGCTTGCTTGGCCAGGATCGAAGTACTCAACCAGTAGGGCTTTCGGTAGCAACAACCCGTCAGAGTGGAGTATGTGGCCAAACAAAACGCTTCTATTCGAATACAGGGGTTCCAAAAAGCACTCAGAGCATAGTACCTGGGATCGAAAAACCTACTATTGGGGTAGAAGGTGGTGGTTTAGCTTTCCGTCTGTATGATCTGCGTTAGTGTCATCATCATGTCTTGCTCCCTGCTGTATATGTATATATATATATATAGTGTATGCTGATACACTACTACCACGTTCGTGAGTCAATCCATAATTACGGATGTCATGTCACTCTGGAGGAAGTTTCAGATGTTTTGTACTTGAGTCCTTATACTGCTGCTTACAGCCTACACAGCTTAAGCAGCGCATCGGTGATTTCCTACTGTAGGCATCACACATGTTGAGACATCAGGGCCGACATTCCAAGGTTAAGAAGATACAGTAATGTCGTAGCTCATCCATGGTTAGACCCCCCCATTCACACTGCCCCTCAGCCCCAAGCCCGTAATATCGAAGCCTTACTGACTAGAACAAGGTCTTGGGTCTGTTACACGATAAGAAGTTAAGGAACCCGAGGGAATAGTGTTTTCTAATTATTGAGGCGCCTCATTCAAGCCTCATGCCTACGCCCTAATTCGAACACCCCACCCATCTTCAAACCTGAAACCCTAAACCCTAAACCCTGAACCCTAAACCCTAAACCCCGAAATCGACCTCACCGCCCGGGTCCGGCGTCATGGCCTGGGAGTCAGCTTGCGAGCACATGTCTTCGCACAGTTCACATTTCCAGAGTTAGGATATGGGGATGTGTTGGGTACTTCGGTACTTGTTGGCCTCCTCTGTTGATAATCATAGTCATAGTCGTGCCGGTACCTATTTGAGTATGTACTCGAGCCCGCTTGTGGTTGCATGAGTGTGCAAGGCTACTGACTACTGGCTGAGTGCATGGACACTTTGGGTGGCATGCAGGAGTTGCAGGGAGCGGGGTCAAGGATTGGTATCGAGTTTTCTAGCTTAGCAGATACGGATTCCGAGCTGTGAGGTTGCATTACATTATGCTGCAATCTAACACTTTATTCCTAAACCCTAAACCTTCAAAGGATGTCAGGATTTTGCGGCGCCCCAAACTTAAAGGCTTAGGAACTGGTGCTTGGCACTGGGCTTCAGGGTCCTGAAGCCTCCCAGCCAATTAGAATCCAACTGCAGAAGCTTTCCTAAGCGACCATCAAAAGGAAAACATGTGTCCTGTATCCCGGCCATGTTAGCTTGAATGAAACTCGCTCAAAATGCCCACGAAACCCTACAAGCAAGTTTCAAGACCCTACAAGCCCTAGGACCTTCAGTTCCCCATCAACAACATGGGACGGTGCTGAGATTCCTGCGGCAGCTGCTGGTAGGCGCAGCAAGCCAAAGCCGAAGTATCAAGAAGCTTCTAAGCCCCCAGAAAGCCTGGAAGCGTACCGTAAATTGTCGTGCTAAGCAGCCCTGCCGGGAGTTGGGAGTATGCTGTACGCTGAGGGGTATCGAGTTCTCTGGCCCTTTTCGTGGCACAAATGAAGGTGATAAGCGCCACAAAAGTAGTCTCGCTGTCGTGTTCAAGAGTTACCATTTTGAGTGCTATCACCATTGAAGGATCGAAAGGCGCAGGGATACTCATACAAGAGCTGCAAAAGCTGGGTATAATGTGACTGGCTACGAAAGCAGGGTGTCGATCGAGTACTGCACTCCGATGTGGGCAAACCACCTGATGAACACGGAGCCGAAGGTCAGCGAGCGCATGAATCCCTAAAACATGTAAATCCTATATACTCAGTTCTAGAAAATCTACATTCTAAACTACTAAACCCTACCCGAAAGCTGAAACCCTAAACCCTACAAGAAGTTGAGATCGGACGAGGTCTGGCGTCTCGGAACTCCGACTTTTGGAGGACCCGAACGGAGTGGTGCTGTGGTTGCTGCTGCGTAATTACTACCCAATATAGGGTTTGGGGTTTAGCTTTGGGTGCAGGGCTTACGGCTTTGCGGTTTAAGGGCTTGGGGTTTAGGGTTAGTGGTTTTCCGGCGATTGGTCGTCTCCTCTTGACAGGCCTATCACGCCATGTCCTCGTTGTGTCACATTTAGACGTGCACTGCGTCAAGGGTCTGTGGCCGGCGGGGGATACGTATTGAGTTGAGCATCTCAGCAATTTTAACCAGTTTACTGACAGCTCAAAGCTCCGCAGGAGAGGGTAACCTATACTTCTCGGAAAGAGGAACCATGCGGGGATATGAAGAAAAACAGTCAAGCAAATAAATGCCGGGGGCTTCCAGTAAACTTTACTGTGAGTTTACTTGTTTTGAATAGCCTTTTGTTTCTGTTGGGCTAGACCAAACACCCTGCTTCACCCTGCGGCAGGGAATCGAAGCGGGGCGTACCCGGCAGTCACAGAGGCCACACCTGGCGAGATAGAAGCTATCTCAGATCCCCAGACCCTAAACCTCTAACCCCTCTGCTGACTTCAAGCTACGGGCTTTCTTGATAGCGGATTTCGCTACAGGTACTCAAATAACTAGAGTTGGAGTAGATTTCGGTGTCTTATGAATCTAAGACGATCTAATTCCCTAAGGGTCCATGTACCTAAATAGTATATACTTTGGCCTTGAAGTAACCCGTAAACCCTGGATTAATACTCTATGGCCATCAGACCTGAGAAATTATTCAGCCTCAGAACTTTACCGTTGCATTTAACGGCATCAGCCACAGGGTTGAAACATTCTGGGGTTAAGGGTTTAGGGATTGGGGTTTAGGGATGTGCCCTCGCAGTTTCGGAAGCCAAGCTCGGCGAGTAGTATAGGGGCCTTAACAATTAGCACGGCGTCTTCGGGCAGACTGTAGTGAGTTAAAGAATCTGCAGAATCCTAGGAAGAGGCTCTTCTTTGGAGGAGGGAAGGTAGACCTTCTGAAGCCCAGTAGCCCAAGGCATGCTAGCCTCTGTGCTCGCAGAGTCGGCACAACGGGGGGCGGTTTAGGGTTTTAGAGTGTCGAGTTGACTGTCTTATTTAGGGGTGAGGGTCCGGGATGTAGGGTGAAATGAGGGCTTTCGTAAGCAACGGTTCTGCGGACGCTGCATGCGCTACTGCTTGACTTCAAGGCCGTCGACACCAAACTCAGCTTCCAGTTTTCCCCAGACTGACCCCCACAACTTGAACGCACAGTTTGTCACTCGGCAAACGAGCCAGTGCTCAAAACCCCCATGAAATCCCGGAAAAAAAACTGCATGGGGTCTTAGGTCCTGCATTAGCATTGGGGGGTGTAAGTTTCTCTTTGAAGGGATAGCAAATGAAGTCTCCTGCAGACAGGGAAGAAGAATTACATGTGAGGGTCGTAGTTGCAATGCAAAGCGTGTCATGCAGTGAAATGTGTGACCCAAGCAATGCTTTGAAACCGCAACAGGTGTCGCCAAATCGATCAACATCGTCTGTCACGGAGCAGCCAAGACAAAGAGGAGGCAACCCTAAACCACCCATCCGAAACCCTCTAACTCTAACCTTCTAATCCCTAAATCCTTATCCCTAACACCCCTCAACACCAAGTTTAACCTCTTTGGGCCAGAAGCTCAAAATCCGAGATCATGGCTTTGCATACCAAACCCCTAAGCCCCAAAGCCCCCAAAAGCACCAAAACAAAACCCATAAGGGTGGGAAGTCCCATAAGCCTCTCTTGAAGTAAGCCAACAAGGTAAGGATGTCTCTGTCTTGGCTGCCGAGATGGCGGGCCCAATGTAAGGCCTTAAATAGTTAGACTAGGGTGGCAGTACATACGCTAGAAGTGCCAACCGGAGCTCTTAGGAAAAGTATTGCTAAAACTCCTACCCTTATTTTGCACCTCAAGGCAAACAGTTACAGAACAATGAATAAGTCAGAAAATGGGACACCCCAAATATAGGCCTTGCGATAGAACCTTCCAAAGCTTAAGAAACCCCTGGCTCTACTGTACCCTAAGATAACTCGTTTAGGGTTTATGTGTGTAGAGTTTAGGGTATCCAGAGATAAAAGCGGAGCTCTGAACTAGATTACTAGATTAGATTTTTCAGGGCACAGCAGACTACTTGGCGGCTATCGAGTATCCTGTGTTGGTAGCCGTAGCCCTGCAACCATCTCCATGGTCCACTTTATTACAACCCTGTTGGACCTGCAAATGTAGGGGCCCCAATAATTACCCATACTATTTTCGGGGGTCCCTCAGTATGTTTATAGTACAATGGGATTCAAAACCCTATTCTAATTATTAAGGCCCCTTTATTACCTAAGTCAAGAAAAGCGTCACAGCACTCACTGTCCATTCAGTCAGACTTCTTCTTGGTGCCCGCAGATCTGGGATTCCGGACTGAAAGGGATCTGCTGGGGAACCCAAAACGAAAAACCCTTAACCTATGAATACACCCCTAAACGTAAAATCCCAGACCCTGTTTGGCCTTAGGTTTCAATTTCCAGGATTTTGTGTTCGAGGGTCTTACGGGTAAGTTCTTTGGGTACAAATCTGGATAGGATACTAGAGGGCTCTCATTATTTAGAGTATAGTTATTGTAGTATATTTATCGTAAGAACCGTAAGGAATAGTTCGGAATGATGTTGGTAACTATGGCTTAGTTATTACCTAGGTTCTGAAGGCCGATGTCCCAACAGATGTGTGCCCCAAACCCCAAACCCTAAACCCTGAAGGGAAGCTTGTAGAAGATGAAACCTCTCATCCAAAGGCCTTCTATGCTTGAGATCTCGCGGTCTCTATCAGCCCTGACCCACAAGATTCGCTTTGGGTTTAGGGTTTGGTTTTAGGGTTTAGGGTTTAGGTGTGTCAGAGTTTAGAGTTGAAGGCCCTGCCCTAAACCACAATCCGTACAGCCTGAAGCCCTGAAATCGCTCAAAACCCCTAAGCCTTAAACCAGGCCCCTCGCCCGAAGCCACTTCGGAACAGACCCACCTCAAGCTGGCTTGGCTACCTCACAGACCGAACGCGAAACCCCCAAATACATCTAGTAGCGTTTGAGGTTTGGGGGCTTAGGGATTTAAGGCTTAGGCGTTTACTAAGCCCAAAGAAAGCCCCGCGCCCCCATCTCCAAACCCGAAGGTTGTCCCACGAGACCCCCCAGGCTCTGCTGCCAAAGCTCGATCTCCGGAGCACTTTCTTCCTTTGTGCGAGCATCGTGCCTGAGAGGCAGCACAGTAGGGTTTAGGGTTTATGTAGGGTTTAGGGTTTAGGGTTTAGGGTTCAATGACTTCTTCAAATATTCAGGTGAGCATTCATTCCTCAGGTATGCCCTGCTGCCCCAAACCCTGGACCCTAAACCCCACAGGGACCCTGAGCCCGGTATAAGCCCTGAACCCTAGACCCGGTTGAAGTACAGAGAGACCCTTTGGGCTTCGGTGCCTGGGACTTCCTACGCCCTAACCCTCTACAGGAAGCCCTTGAAGGAACCCTGAAAGGAATCCTTGAAAGAACTAACCCTCTAAATGAAGCCCTTAAAGGAACCCTGAAAGGAATCCTTCAAAGAACACCCATGAAGCCTCCAAAAAAACTTGCAAGGCCATCCCGCAACACCTGTCGGGGAACCGAAATGATGCCCGAGCCCTGATTCCGCAAACCCTGGAAGCAAAGCCATGAACCACAAGTCTTTAGGGTTTAGGGTTTTGGGTTTCATCCCTGACTGAAAGAAGAAGCAACACTGTTTTACCGTCATTGATTCAGGGCATTAGAGGAAAAAGCTGGCGCCAACAACCGTGAAGCAACAACTCAACCATGGCTAGATCCACCGAGTCGAACTTAAAAGCCCACATCCCTATACATTCATTCCGAAATCCGCTGCAGCCAAAATTCGTCAACCTCCGCAGGGTTCTAAAAGGCTACTTTTAAGGGCACCATAAACGTTCTAGAGGGGTAGGTTTCAGGGCACCAGAGAAGGGTACCTTGAAGGGCACCATAAGGGCTCTAAAAGGGTACCTTTAGAGGGGCAAGTGGCCGAAGAGCAGCGGGAATCCCAGCAGATACACGCCAAGTAAGCCTGGGACACGCAACTGACATGTCTCTCCCATGCATGCGGGTTTTCTAAGTTAGAGTCCGCGTTGCATGTTGGCAATCTTAAGTTGCCGATTTTGGGGGTTCAAGACCGTTTGTCGGTGGAAGAGGCTTCGAGTTCAGGGTTTCAGGCCTGAGCTTTAGTGCCCCTGCATGGTAGACCCTACAGAATCGGGTTGATGTGATCTGGCCCAGGAATGGGCCCGCGAAGTTTGCAGGATTCAGGCGTTTGGTCATGCTTATACGTACTATACAGGGCCCCAGGGGCTCTAGTATCCTATATAGTAGGTACTATAGAGTGGCAGGGTTGACGAGCTGGGCCAACGACCACTCAGACTTCCTGGGGCCTGGAGCCTCGAAACCCAAACCAATTTGATTTAGGGGCTTTGGGTTTAGGGTTTAGGGTTTAGGGTTTAGGGTTTAGGGTTTAGGGTTTAGGGCTTAGGGTTTAGGGTTTAGGGGAACCAACCTAAACCCTAAGCCGATCCTTCTACGCCCCCCCCCAACTCCCAGCTCCTTGAACCCTATAGTACCGTTCAGGCTGTCAAACATTAAAGCCGCAACCCCCAAGAAACCCTAAACACTAAACTGCCCTAAACCCTGAACTCAAAGTCCAAGCTGCAGGTGAAGCCTAATCGGAGCGAAACCACGGCAATGGTTCCACATGCCAGCCCACAGGGGCCCTGCGCCAGAACTTCCGTTTGCCAACAAGGGCTACTGAACTTGCTCTGCCTGAATTTGACAGTGTTGCACACATATATGATCATATTTGTGTATGTTCACAGCATGTCTGTTTGTGTGTCTAGTCAGTTATTTGTTTGCTTGTTTGCTTGTTTGAACAGCGTTGTATTGCAGTGGCTTTTTTTGTATGTCTGATTCGGGCTGCCGGGCGCTGGGCTTACATCAATTTCTTCCTTGATCTCACCTCGCCCGTTCAGGATTTAGGGCTTAAGGTTTTGCATGATTCTCCTTGCAGTCACTCATGATCAATGTTCTCAAGCTCACAAATATCAGCAGCGACATGACTATTTTCGTATTTCGGATGGTCAGTACGACTGTTGACTGTTGTTCGTGGCAGTAGTACTGCGTTGGCATGGACAACCACAACGAGGTGTAGATGTTACCTTGTGTCTTGGAACCGAATATTTAGAGTTAAAGGGCTGTCGCTTTGAGAGGTTGTCGGGATCAAGCCCTACCTCTCCATATTGACTCGCCGGCAAATTTCAACGAGGGCCTGACGCGAATGGCGGAAGTCCTGCATGAGAGTATATACTAATACAAAATACTGCTAACACCAGATCATAACATATCGATTCATGTCATATCACGAAACGAAAATAGATTCTCATGTCATGCAATATCAGACACTGTACTATACTCATTATGAGTCAGGCTCCTAGTTTGAGGCCTTGGCAGCCATGTCCGTCATCTCCGGGAGTGCGGAGTAGACAGTGCCAAGCTCACCTTCCAGTGAGTGGGAGGGCTTAGGTCCCGTAGGATCGCGGATTGTAGGGCTTAGGGATTAGGGCTCTGTTTAGGACATTCACGATTGCGGATATAGCGTTGATGATTTAGGGTTTAGGACCTTTTTGATTGAGGATTTCCGGTTTAGGGCTTAGGACTTGGGGTTGAGTATTGCAGCCAGTCTTAACTAAGGCTGTTGAGCCTTGTCATGCTCGTCATGGTCATGACCCCCCTTCTCTTCTACCTTGTGGAAGCAGGAGCAGTGCTGCACACATGATGATAATGATGCTTCTTGCTATCATACCTGCCGATGACCAAGCCCCAGGCCCGAAATGCCCTCAACCCTAAACTATAGTTTTCACTGTCGGTTAACTGTGGTCGATTTGCTACTGGCCGGGCTGCTCACTGGTACAGAAAGCTGCGACTGTAGCGGCTACACTGAGCCACAAACTGCAGTTTTCATAGGATCCTAAGCACGAAACCTGAAGATTCGTTTTCAGATTCAACACTGATCCGCGGCCCAAGCCCTGAAGCATTCACCTGTCACACCCAACGGGTACAGGATCAGGAAAGTGGAGTATCGCAGCCACGTCCTGAGCTGGTGGGGAGAAGTGTAGCTGAGTCTTCAGAAGCTTCGGGCGTTCTTCGTTCGGCTATTTCAGATGGATGATTGAAGTTCAGGGTTGCCCTAACATCGCAAACCTAAAACCCTTGGGGCCTGTGGATTTGAGGATCAATCTTTCAGGGTTAGGGTAACAAGTGCTGTTTCTGCTTCCCGGAATTTAGGGTTCAGAGAGATGCCGAGGGACAGTTTCCCTAAGCTCAATTTCCTGGTTTAGGGTCCACCTGGAGGCTCCGTCTACAAAATCACTCCATACACACACCGGCTTGCACAAAACGCTCCATAAAAGGCTCTGCCACTCTGCAACTGTATCCCAAGCCCCCAAGCCCGAATGTCTACGCGTTAGGGGAAGTAGATATCCCTAACCCCCATACCCTCGGAAGGCCTCATAAAGCTTAACCCTATACTCTCGTATCATCATCAGCAGCAGAACTTGTGCTTGGGACCCTTTGGAGCTATCGGCGGCCGAAGTTCAGAGGGAAGACCTGCACGCCGAAGGTGTTCAAGGCGTAATACCTCAAGACTTGGATTTGGGCTTGGGGTTACCTCCGTTTTCGGGGTTGAGGGTGTTCGATTTTCGGGCTTAGGCGAATAGTACTCCAAGATTTGGGTTGAAGTTCGGGAATTAGGGCTAGGGTTAGAACCTCAAAATTTGCTCTATAGGGTTTACGGTTTAGGGTCCAGGCGTGGCTTTGGGTCGGTAGAGAGGGGGGGAGGGCGGGGGGCCGGGGTGGGGGTGAGGGTATGCGGTTCTCGTGCTGACCTTCCTGCAAACCTTGCTTGCAGCCATCGCAACCTAAGCCCTGAAATCGGAACACATGGCCCTCTCAAGCCTGGTGGCTTACACGCTGAACCATGACCCCTAAACCGTGACCCCTAAACCCTGAACCGCACCCTACACCTTCAATTCCAAACCGTAAACCATCAACTGTTTGCAAAGACATTGCGATGGTGCAAAGCGTGGGGGCCACCTGGTAAAATTATGATAAGTTGTAGGGCTTTGAGTGTCTATTCAGCTCTCTCTCTCTCTCTCTGTACATACATGCATTGTGTCTGTATGTATGTGTGTATGCATGTGCGTAGGTAGGTAGGTAGGTAG